TCCCCGTCTCCCGCAGGGGGCAGCCCTGGAGTGCAGCTTGGGGCCAGAGGACACCTTCGAGGCCACGTGGCTCAACGCCTCAGTGGTACGCTGCAACCAAGTGGCGGTAAGTGGCGTGGCGTCCCCCTTCCCCAACAGCCCTGCCCCCCTCGGCCCCCACGACACCCCTCCCCCAGAAAAGACGCAGCCGCCCACCCGCCCTCTCCCCTCCCCCCACAGCTGCACACGACCCTGAAGACCCAGGAGTTTGCCCTCAGCCTCCAACTGAAGGGGCGGCCCTCGCAGTTCCTGGACAACCCCCAGCCCCCCATAACAGGTGGGCTCCCTGCCGGCTCTCCACGCCCATGGAGGCTCTTTCCTGAACCCCACAGGCCCCCTCTACAGAAGGCTCAGCGAGGGTGCAAAGCCGTGAGAATAGTTTTGGGGTGTAGCTGCCCCCCGTGTTGATGGTGCCATTATTATTATTGTTGTTGTTGTTGTTGTTGTTGTTGTTGTACTGGGAGTTTAGGCCTTGGCCTCCCAGAGCCCATGTGGCTCAGCCCTTCCTGGCCTCCAGGAGGCCCACTGGTGGGCCTGGCTGTGAACCCCAGCTCCCCCAGGCTGTGTGACTTTGGGGAAGTGACTCGCCCTCTCTGAGCTCTTATCTGTGAATGGTGTTAACCAGTGGCTCTGCCTGATGGGGTCACGCTAAGGAGCGATGAGTTCAGCCAGGCTCAGGGGTGCCCAGAACCTCGCAGGCTCCAGATCTGGGACGCAGCCCCGGCCTCTGGGTGACCCGTTCTACCCCACTGTCCCCTGCAGTTGTGGTCTATAACTGTGCCATGGGCAGCCCCGACTGTTCCCAGTGCCTAGGCCGCGAGGACCAGGGTCACCTGTGTGTGTGGAGCGACGGCTGCCGCCTGCGGGGACCCTTGCAGCCCCTGCCCGGCTCCTGCCCCGCACCTGAGATCCGTGCGGTAAGCACAACCAGGGGGCGCTCGCACCCCAGAACCGCCCTGCGCCCAGCCTGGCTCTGCATCTCCGGGCTGGGGGGCTGGGGGACACCCCTAGGCACATGCATGCAACTGACCTGTGAGCAATAGCAAGGTCAGGGAAAGCTGGGGGGTCTGGTGACAATCAAGGCCCCTCTTATAACTCTTGTACCCGGTGCAAGACAAGAAAAAATCTCAGGGAAGGATTCTGATTGGCTTAGCCGAGGCCAGGTCCCGCCCCTTGTCCAATCAGCGTCTGGCTGCGATGTGGGCTCCTGGGCTGGGACACCGTCCTGGGAACTGGCCTCAGGGTGCCCCAGGAGGCTCCCCTAAGTGGCCTCCCCGAGCTGAGTGGCCTCAGTCATGCTCAAGGCCAGGTGACCCTGCAGTCCCAGCCCTCTCTGAGCCCCTGTATCCTCTAAGCAATGGAGCTGGGTGGCCCTGCATAGGACAGTGGGAGGGGCCATTTGTCAGTGTCCCAGCCTCAAAGCCCCTGTCACTCCTGTGTCTGGTGTCCTGGCAGATCGAGCCCCTGAGTGGCCCCTTGGATGGCGGGACCCTGCTGACCATCCGCGGCAGGAACCTGGGCCGCCGGCTCAGTGACGTGGCCCACGGCGTGTGGATCGGCAGCGTGGCCTGTGAGCCGCTGGCGGACAGATACACGGTGTCGGAGGAGTGAGTGGCACGGTCCCCAGCCCCCCCTGTCCCCCTGTGCGTCCAGCGGTCCCTCTGTGCCTCCTGCCTGGCTCTTCTTGGGACGCTCTGCGCCGCCTCCTCCAGGAAGCCCTCGGGGCTCCCCAGGCCAGGCCAGCCCCTCTGCACACAAGCAGTTAAATTGGGGGGGCTCCTGGTGGGAGAGTCCCTCTAGAGAATGTTCTAGAACCGAGGAATGAGCTAGAGTTCCTCCTGGGGAGGCCTTGCAGATAAGCCACCAGGTGACCAGATGATCTGATCACAGTCCTCCTGGCCCCCTGGTCCTCTCAGACGTGCAGAACTGTGGGAACGCCTGGGGTGGGGGACCCCCGGACAGTGGTCACTCCAGCTGGCCCTCCAGAGGCCAAGAGGACTGTTCATTATTTCAATGTGGACGGTGCCCAAGGCCAGGTCCAGCTGAGAGTGGGAGGACACCAGGCACCGTCACACCCTCTGAG